GCATGTATGGCGTTTTGCCGAGATGTTCCTCATTCATTTATTTCACCGGGTAAACGAAGCGATCCGGCTGAATCAGATCATATGCATTCATGGTCCAAAAAGGAAACACGATCCTTTATGGTGAGACGAATTCCACTCTTGATTAGCTTAGATTAACACGATAAGCCGATTCGGTAGCCAACAAAATTGTCAGGAGTGGTTATCTCTGTTAACCATCACAAAATAACGCAAGCTATCACGGATGTAAGTATTTGATTATAAAATTTCCGTTTCGTATGAGCGATTCACGCTACAGTGAGTTCTATTGATCCACGTGTGTTGCTTCGCCTCGGGTGATTTTGAAAATATATTACATGCTGGAATCGATATTTTTCATGCGTACACACCAAAATCAATCATTTTCTGGGTCAGTATATTCGGGATGCGCAAAAGTAATCGGGTCAGATTGACACCATAAACAGCGGATTTATTTCTGCCTGCCTCCATTCTTTTTATCACAGGCACTGATATTAGTATATGGGGCACACTGTCAATGAACAGGGTAAGTTGACTGCAGATATACTTACGACTCAAACGTGCCCGAAAATCCTGTCGCGAGGATACCCAGAAAGAATGCATTTCTCATACATCAACCATTAATCAAACAGCCTCAGAGGAAACAAAACCAAGAAATAATTGGAGATAATTTGTTCAGCAAGGAATATTTATTAAGGTAAGCCTTGAATACATGTGAGATTACATTCTCCGTAAACCATGAGAATTATTTGAAAATCCAGTTGCCTTTTTTCCGAAACGCAAACGGGAAGGATAAAGAGGTATCTTGAGTTTTATTATTTTGCATGTTTTCCCGATTGTCCTAAACGGAAACCAATTGTTCCTTCCATTTAACAAAAGGGTAATAATTATTGTAATATAACACATCACGAAACCATGTGATTAACAATTTCGTTTGAAATGGGTTTAATACGAAGTTCCTTTTCTAACAAGTTTGCACAGTCTTCCTTAGTGGCCTGGAGAGTTTCTGATGAACACGGGAGTGCAAATCAGTCAGCCCCTATGAGGGCCTTCGTGATTTAAAGAAACATCGGTCCGGACGAAGTAGAATCAAACTAACTGTCACCAATAAAACGAAAAGTGGTACCATTTTTGTGCAGGTTGTAAGGATAAAACATGTTGCTAGTCAACTAATGGTTCCTGATTTTCATTGTTCCTCACCTATCAAATCCATGTATCAAATTCTGGTTGCCATATGAAGTTTCAAAGCATTTTGAAGTCATAGTGATACAAATTATCATAAACTCAATAAACGCAGAGGTATACACATGATTATATTGAAATCACAGTTACCGACCGAACGCCAGAATAATCTACATTTCATTCGGAATTAATGTGCCCGGATTTTGATACTCTGTACAGTTAGTCTGTCTTAGACGTTAGACGTAAGCTGAATCAGCAGAAATGAAAAGCCGTATATCGGTGGGTTGTTCTTATAATGGAACGACCTAATTACGTATTGGAGGGATGCCAAAACGGTGAGCAGACGACTCATTTTTTAAATCTTTTCAGAAGGAGAAGAGACTTAACCCTGTCATTATTGGTCTGACAGTCAAATCCTTGAATCCATTCTTTATCAACCATTCAGTGATTATCTTACAGTGTAAGATACATTCAGTATCAGGATATATATATATATATATATTATTGGTTGTATAGCGAGGTAATGGATTGTTTGGACACAATCTAAATTGTATTCATAGCAACACTTTTGGTTGCGGGATGTTTCGGTGTTAATCAAAACTGATAAAGCTCATGTCCAAGGTGAGTGCATAGGATGTGCCTGTAAACGCATTCGTGAGGTAAAATCATCGTATACCTTGTAGCTGGGTGCAGCTTGTTATCTTCTGATCCCTGTGATACTGACACTTGGGTTGTCAGTTGTCTCAATAAATTCAAATATTTCGCGGTACACCCCACAGCCAAAACACTTGCAAGACAATTTACAGTTGTTAAGTTTAAATTTAATTTGTGTTCGTCGAGTTACTCTTGTTGCTTGCTGTTTTGTTGTTACAACAGCTTCGACATTCCTCCCTTTAGTTTCAATCCTAATTTATTCCTGACATAAATAAAAGCTGAAGTAGTATCTTCAATGACCAACGTAATTCCCTTGGAACCAATTCAACTTAAAAAAAGATACGCGTATTGCTCTGAGAATTGGAAATAATGCAATATTTTAGAATGCACATTGAATGTGAGTAAAAACCAAGTTAGGTGATAACCCTAAAGGACGCAAGGGAACTTTTCATGTTTGCTTGTAACTTTAGGAAAGTTGTCTTCTTTAGAAGTGTTTTCTGAAATTGAAGATAAAAATTTTTTTTATTGCACAAATTATCCAGATCATACATATTGAATTACTAAGGGAATAATTCAAAAATCTCTGATCAAGAAACACAAAATTGTGATCATCATGGGAATTTTGATATATTTCCCCGCAGATCGAGTTGCGTCCGAATCTGATTGGAGAAGAATGTGAACTAGTATTTCGAATTGTTAAGTCGTTCATGGAATCAAGGAATCAAAGATATGTGAAATGTATGGAGAGAAACAAAACCTTGAAGACGTGACTGATGTATTTCGATGATTCCTATTGTATGTTTACACAACAGAGACCAACAAGCTACTTTCATGCTTATCGACAGATGAATAAATCTCAACCAAAGATTACTCATGTTGAATGTTAGTCAGCGTTCATGGCATTAGATTGTTTGAAGGATAATTAACATATATAGTTATTTATCAACGGTTTCTATTGTCAGCCTTGAGACAATCGTACTTTAGCATTATCACGTATTCACCACTCTGACATGAAGGCTCTGTTTTCAATCATAGGGCGGTAACAACTCATCGCAATAACGGCATTTCAAAAGATGATGACTTCCGTTACGGCGCTTTGCTTGAAAGTAACCTGGATAATTTCTAGTTCCATACAGTTTGACAGAATATAATGCATATTACGCATTCTTTACACCCGAAGTTTAGGTACAATCATCGATTCATTCGGTCAGGTGCAATTTCGTTCTGAATGGAACTCATCATCTATGTATGACCACCGTCTCGTTCAAGATTACACCTCTGAACTCATGACATGGGAAGCATCTTTGTTACCATTTTAACGAGGCTGACTGGAATCGCCTAACCGTGTGTTTTTAGATGTTGGCTTCACCGATGGATATTCATCAGGTTGAGAGAAATGGAGAACCTTATTTGTCTACATGCTGAATTTGCCGTGTACACGAGGCCCGATCTGAACAACTGGGAACCACTAGACAGCTGTTTCGACCTGGTGGGGTTTCATTAGCAATGGGAATCCACCGATCCAACTGGTGATCAAACCCCAGACCTCACGGATCAAACGCAATGTTAATAGCCACTCGGCCACCGGGAAGGTGATCAGACCATTGCTCATTTCCAATATATAAGATACAGCACAACCCGTCCAGGCGAGTTTCTAGCTGTCCAGTGCTTCCCAGCGTTTTCAGCTCACGCCTAATTTACTCGACAAATGCGGGATATACAAATTAAAGTCCTCCATTTTTCTCATACGACAAATAATCAGGTTGTGAAGTTTCCAACCCGGAGGCGAGTGCTGAGATGAGCGAAGACCGATACTCGCAATAAGCCCGCATAGACGGGTTGTGCCATATCGTGTAAATTACAAATTGGAAACGGTCTGATCAGCTGCTCGTTGGCCCACTGAGTAGTATGCTTGCGTTAAATCTGTGAGGTCCCGGGTTAGATCCCCAGTTGGGTCGATGGATTCCCGCTGTTGATGAGACCCAACCAGATAATCATTTCTCTTTTCCACAACGTCATCACATCCCCTTTCGTGCTATGCGTCCGAGATTAAATCCGAGCGCGAGGAGAGATTTGAAGTACCGATGATGGTTAAAGAGAGCAAGCTCCAGTTTATTGTATGACCTGAGGATCGTACGACAAGATTTAGTCTGAAGGACGACCAGTTCAAATCACTAGCATTTATTCTACGAAACTATTCAAAAGTGTCTGCTAGTTACCTGGGTTTCTTTTTCTTTTGAAATAAACTTGAATCAGTATCAAAGATCTCCAGCTAACTCACAGCTTCTTAACTTCTTCCTATGCGTATTTCCATATTGTATTCATATTTAATCAGCAAAGTTGGTTCCCCATTGAGATGCATTTTACCGTTTACAATACTTGTGACATTAAGATAGACTTGCTAGAGAACTCCCCTCTTAAGGATTATATCTGATTTTCAATAAAGGTTCAAGTTTAAAATACGTTATTGAATGACAAGCTTTGTTGTTCTATTATGTGGATACACAGGAAAAAAAAGCGTTTAGGGAAATTGTCTATATGAGAGACTACCGTTGACGGATAATGTCCGACATTTCGTAACTTGATTCTCAGATGCAGTTTACTGTTAACTGTAGTGGAACTAAATACAGTATATATTTTATTGAGTTATAGATGCTCCAGGTTTTTATGAAGGCAAATATAAAACTTTAAATAAAAAGAGTTAAATTATTCACGATCGAATTTGCATTCGTTGTAAAATTTGGTTTCATCACTGGTTTTCTTAATTGCGTGGCGTAGTAAGCTCTTCAACAAATTTTTCGACCAATTAAATAATGCAGACATAAATATTAATTTCGTTGATTTTCATATTCTTGGAGGGATTTGTTCAACACAGTATTTCTGATAATAACATTAATTGGGAACAGTATCCACGTTTTGCCGCATACTAATCTTGAATAAACCAATGAACGTTGACCATAATTTGACAAATCACCATTTGTTTGTTCATTCAATTCTGATTGGTTGGGTTACACACTGTTGCCCCAAAACCAGATAATGCAAAGAGAACACCAAAATTGAATTCGTGTCAGGTGCTGTGTGTCTGATTCATCGCTCTAGCAAAATGCTTGTACCACCCTAAATTTTGAGCCGCCGTTAATCTGGATACTATGAATCCGCAAGAATTATGTGCTCAAGATGAGACATTGCATAAAAACTTTGAACGGTTTATGAAATGTAAGCATGACTATCCAAACCTGATTACATTTATGGAGCTATTTGCAAGTGCTTACGGCGTTCTCGGGTTAACGGTGTGCTGCTTATCAGTTCTGTCTAATACCATGAATTTGATGCTTCTATCCAAACGATGGTTACGTCGTCCAACAACCAGCATTCTGATCGGGATCTCTGCTATGGATCTATGTGTTTCAATGAGTCAGATGCCTATTCTACTGAGATATTATCTGGCTCCCATATTCAGCCAGGATAATATTCATCATCAGCCTATGGATGACGTTCCGGGATCCATACAGAACTCCTCCTATGAGGATTACTTTGATAATATGAATGAGACATATGCGGTCTGTTCAAACAGTACTCCGCTGGTCAATAGTAAAGATTTTGGTTGGGTATGTAATCGGCCAGATGCATCACTGTCGCGATGGAGTGTTGCTTTCTTGTTTATCCTGGCTCAATGCACAGCTCTGACTAGCCACACCGCTTCCGTGTGGTTTGGTGTGGTTCTAGCCGCATTTCGCTGGTGGCTAATCAGTGAACTCAGTCGTAAAATGAACCGGATGAGGCGTTCCATAAATCTGGCTCAACAGTCTATCCAGTTGGCCTCATCTGTGATTGCCCGGTCGGATATTGAATTATCCCGAGTTTGTGTGCAGTGTGGTCGTGCTATTCTGTTGGTTCATGGTACACAACGGTCGGCTGCACTTGATCCAGACATGCACACGATGGATACATGTGATCGATGTGGTTCTCTGGAACCCATGGAGAAACCGACGACAGATAAGCAGTCCTATAACTCTGCCGGTAGCCGATGGTTTCGTCGAAGCAAATCCACTTTTGAGACACGGGTCAAATTCCATTCAAGCGAATCGCTAACGGAACAGCGCTTTGTAGTGCAAAAGAGTGACGCAAGTGATCAACGCCTGGACGTTGATCATCGATTGTCTTTTCTGTGTAGAGTGTGTTGTCACAGTAGAAATCGAGTGGAACTATCCCGTGCCAACGTACAACGTGCACTTTGTCTAGTATTTTTACTTGTGAGCCTATTTTTAAGTCCGTATTATTTGAGTGCCCAGATCCGAGCCGCGTATTACATCATCATGCCCTGTGACCCTTATTTTCAATTGAAAAAATCGCTCACACAAACCAAAGAAGTCGTACATCTGTGTGTGGACAATAAAACGCAGATCCGGACAATACTGGCAGGTTATATGCCTTTACGGAAGGAGGACTCCGTGCTTGACTCATACAATTTCTGGATTGTTGCCGGTATGGGCAAACTTGCACCTTGCTGTTTGATTGCTGCTTTTGGTTTCCGTCTGATCACACACTTACGTAAAAATCTGTCACATCGATTGACATTTACGGGTCACGTGACCCAGCCATATTCATGCTCTGAGACAAAGGGTCCACAGAAAGCTCAGGCTTTGAAAAATCGTCTGAGAAACCATCGTCGAACGAGTCGACTGCTAATACTTGTGATTCTGCTCATTCTACCCGTGGAGCTCCCGACTGCCATCATTTTGATCAGCAAACGATATACTCATCAGGGTGAATGCTTATATCTCAGTCTGGGTGATTTGCTGGATTGGTTAACATTGGTCAAAAATGCCCTCACGTTTGTGATATACTGTGCCATGTCGTCCGAATTCCGTACTGCTTTTTGTGATAGTACAAAGACGGTGAGAAACTACACTCGATTTGTATGTACACTGTGTAGAGCAAGAAGGTTGCCAAATCAGTGACAATGATACACGTTCCGTATTTTGATTCATGGGTAAATATATGTTAAACATACTGTTTCCCCTCACGATAAATCGAATGCCACTTTTTAAACCTTTATTTTTTGGGAAAGAAATTTATTGCTTCACCCTAATGATACCGAACGAAACGGGAATGTGACATTTTTAGATTTATCACAACCACAACAAAAATCCATCTACCCAAATTGGTACGGTTTCGTTTCTATTGGTTGACTTCATATTTTTTCCTGAACTCACCGATGGGTGCAGGAGTATTGGGCTTCATAATCTTCAACAGCGTTATTAGATAAAAGAAATGTCAAATAGTTTGGAGGAAATTATCATATGGACATAAAAGCGATCATATGATATGCGATGACCACCAAACAATAATCCTTTTCTTGCGTTTTGCGGTAATTTGGTAAATCTTGGACCTCTGATTGCTGGTATTAAAGTATTCTTTGTTGAAATTCTTTAAATCTCTGAAATATATTGCCAATTTGTATAATGTCGCAAGCCTGGTCATCTAAACGCTGGAAGTTTCATTTAGGCTTTATTCTTTACGGCATCTGACCTCTGTATTCACGGATTAAATGCACTTCACTCTTTCGACGTGTTTTCTCGTCAAAACGTGAATCGGGATTTGGAATCGGATTGAAGGTTTGTTTGGTGCAACACCGGACCGTTCGAAAATCATGGTAGTTGGGCATAAGTTGTGAGAGATAGCAAGGATACCTTTGGGAACGGTAGGGAAAAAATCGTTTGTCTGAAAATTCTGTGTTTCCATACTGGTGTGATGTCCAAGAGATTCCTTTACTCCTGAGTTCCAATTGGTTATATGTTTACGTGTTTAATTTTCATATTCCCTTTATATTTGATCTCGGCTTTGATGATTCGACTCCAATACCGTTTGCGGAGCTATGGTTTAAATCCACCGAACCGTCCACGATTGCGAACATCAATACTACACCCGGTGTATGTCACAATTATTGTACGCCACCACCTAGAGAATAGCACTCACTCGTATCCCTTACCTGTAGATCAGCGCATGGCTAATCGATTCTGAGTTTTGTAGGTTTGTCACATCTGATTTGAAGTCCAGACTGATAGAGTGAAGGCGATGACTGCGAACGGTTCTTGTGTATTAGAGCTGTTCAGACAGTTCTACATAATTTGCATATTTCAGCGGTTCTTGTCTTTCTCGTAACAGGTAGACCTTTGATGCGAGGAAATCGACCTAGATCAACTGAAACGGGAATAGAAAGGCAAAAATGCCGTTTTGATACGAATTTCGATATCAGTATGCCACTACTGGTGTTCAAGGTAGTTCATGACAGAGTGTATTTCCAACCGAAAGCAGGTTATACGGAAAAGATTTGCAATGGTTCGCAGTTCTAATCGGAGCTATTCGATTGTGCTCGCTTCAGTAGAGCGGTCAACACAAAGTGAACCAAGTGTTCTCAACGTCGAGTTGTTTAAGTTAATTTGACCAAGAAGAGATAAACTTCGTTGAGCAATAAATCGGGTGATACAAGTGGTGGCTGTAAACCCAAATTAAAATATTGCATAAGGAAGTTAAAATACGTCCTTATTGATACGTATCTCAAATTTAGAACAATAGGCCCCTACCGGAAACTGTGCAAACAGGATAATTGCGTCAACTTACAATGCAATGTTTTGACAGCCTCCCAAGTAAAGTTATATGAAAATAAAGCGGTATCAGGTATGGCAATCTTGTTACACACTACTGCCGACGGAAATATTGAGCACTGATAAATATAACTACATTTAGCATTTACCCATTTAGGTTCTCTTATATTAGTGCAATGTATATGGGTCCGATCATCATATGTGTCTCTTTACTTTGATAAACAATAACTAGGCTGGATAAGCGAGGAACGGCCGGAAGTGAGACAGCGGTACTTGTCCACCGGATGACCAATTCAGACCAATTAATTTTATGTGCGTGAATCTTTACCACTGTCATGACCAATTGATGCCTAATTCCAGACAGAGATCAAGCGTTTTGTTGTTTCCGAGAAAAAAAGGATTGCTATCCGAATTAAAACTGAAATTTTTCCAGGGGGAAAACTCACTTTAGATCATTTGGCTTGCAATCGTAACCAAAATATGTTCTCAAATATGAGGCTAATCTATGCCTCTCGTGTGTGTGCAAACAGTGCTCTGCCTACACGTAGTCCGCTTCACATACCTCCAAAGTTTTTTCCAGTTGCGAATTTCCGGACTCATCTGTGGATGTTTATACGTCCGCAGAATGGGAGTGACTTCATAATAGATGTATGATTGATTTCCAATATTTATTTTAGAAAACCTTTTTATGATAAAATAGTAAAATATATTTCAATTTCAGAGATTAAAAGTCTGAATCAAAAAATAAATTTTGTCATGCATAGTGCAAATGAATCGTAAAATTATAAACTAGAAAGCACTCTACAAGTGACTTGATCTTTTTGGTCTCATAAAATGTGTAGATCTGTTGATTTTACTGGAAACTAAGCCGTGAATCACACGGCTATTCTATCAACTTGATTACTGGGAAGCCGATCAAGCCATTTTTCATTTCGGTTGTGCAAATATATCGAACAAACCTAATGCCCAGCGAAATAACTATACAGTTTTGGGTTAAACAGTCATGAGTTATGTAACCGTAGGTAACTGTCAAGCCGCTACACATTTGTCTCATTGTAAACAGTGTATATCGGCATACCACTTGCGTATGCTGCCACACTCCCGCAAAAGTTCACAAGTTCACAGGCTGGAGGTAACGGATATCATATAGGAGAGTATTTGCAATTTGTCAGACATGTATGAGCGGTGATCCCGTTTAACTAATTCCGAATGCAAGTACCCTCTGGTAGATCTATTAAGGTCACTCAAATGAGGACCATTTGTGTGACACACAACTTATTCTAATGAGTAAAAAATTCCGCTAGATTTTTAGAAAAACAGAGACGTGTCGGACAGGCTTGCTTTCAATACTTTATCTATTGGCCAATTACAGTAGGGAAGTCATACAAGGAGAAAGATAAATCAGGATACTATTATATGCGAAATGGGAGTTGAGGGTTTTGGAAGAGGATACTCCAACGCCAACCCCGTGATTGGTGATAATCTCTTCGTGACTGTGAACCTTCTACTGTTAGGTGAGGCCACTTCGGATACATAGCCAGAGGACGGAAAAGGATTTACCGAACATTTTGTGTGCACATAGGGCGGGGGGGGGTTGATTAGTCTAATCACTATCGCCTTTGTTGTTTATAGCAATCGTGCTTTAACATCCTTAGATCGGAACCCCGTTAGTGAATATATTGCACGGAACGATTCCCGCACATCCACGGTGTTATTCATTTCGGCCTGAAGTATAGCAACCGCACTCGTCTCTGCCCTTATCGGTCCCCGATTAAAGATCAAACATTTATTATGGGAAAAACTTACGAGCTCATGCTTTTCCCATCCCATAGGTTCCCATTGTGGTTGAAAAATAGTGATACAAAAAATTCCTTGCGTAAAATGTCACATGATACGGGATTCTCTCACTGCTTCACGCAGCTTCACTTATGTTGGAATGCAAGGTGTGCTAATGTTTCATCTAGTCCCAGTTTGAAAGATGGGTGGTGTTCTCTCATTGGATCGACCAAAGTGTGTGGTGGTGCAACCCACATAATTTGCGCCACAGTACCAAGGAAAATGGTAGACACAAAAAGAGATCATCTCCATCGCTAGCCTGTCCCTCATCCGTAGTTCACGAAGGGATTAGGAAGAGTCGAATATTCACAATCTGCAAGGAATTATCATCAATTATGCGGTGTTGGAACATCACTTTCTCAAACACTCAACTCCATACAAGTTATCCTATCGTAAAAGCTGACAAACTCACCTATACAATACACGTTTTGTTTGATAAATGGAAGGGTATGTTGCGTATATTTAGTATTTTTTGAACATATAATCCGTTACACTTAGCATTACGGCAAACAAATAGGCCGATCAGATCAAACAAGAGAGACATTTACGACCAACAGCAATTATTCAAGGTTATTCCTTAGTTTCTCTTAATTTTACGATTTGGTAGTGCAACCGAAGATTTCACAGAACCATGTTCACAAATATTTTCAAACTAAGGAGAATGCTTGGAACAACCCGGATTGTCTTTACACATTTCACTTCTCTGTATCACTTTTTAACCAGAGTAATGTCTGAAAATACGTTTTTGTTTGTTACGCAAATAAACGGATGCAATCTGTTATCGAAGCTGTGTTTCAATAACCAGATGGGTTCGGTTCCGGTTCTGTCAAACATTCTGTTTCGATCAAACGTGTATGTGACCAGGCACAACATAAGCATGCTGATCACGTGACATAGCGGCAGAAACGTTTTCCACCATACCGTCAATCAAACAGAGAGAATAGCTTCTTAACAGACCTCGAGTTATGCCGGCAACTCCAGTAAGCCGATCGTAAAAGGTGAGACCCCTTGGTGGGATACGAACCTACGAATGAACGTCTCTGTACGAGTTATTCTATGATCTTTGATCGACAAGACTACGCCACGTGCCCTATGAATGTTGAACGTTTGTTTGCCCAACCTCATCACATCAACGCCCAGAAATTCGTCAAAGGACCTAAATCCTGCAAGCCTTTGTTTTCCGGTGTACTGATTTCATTCACGTGTAACGCATAAACAAAAATTAAAATTCACAGTGATGTTTTACTTAATGTCAATATGATCACTTGACCAAAGAGCTGTCACGAAGCTAGAACGTTACTCATGCAGAGTTACAAAGATTGTGTAACCTATATGCAATAACGAAACTGATATTCCGAGTCCAAGAGACTTTATTATCTTTTTGAAAGCTTTTTCTCATTGAAAATTGTTCTATTCACCAAGAGAGCCAAACCAACAACAAAAATCCTCAGTATATAAATGTATACTCTTCTATTCAAAGAAATTACGACTTTATAAGGGGGCTTCACTATTTCGGT